TTCCAAAATTAAGCAACAAATATAGTCCATTTTCAGATATTTTCTCTTTATCACTAGAAAATTATTATGCCTAAACTAAATTTGTTTATGGATGATGTCTTTTTAGCTCATAATAAACAGTTTATTCCTCAAATTACGTACAATTTCACAGCCGACTACTGAATTTTCGATGATTTTAAGTAGCATTAACAAGATACGCGTCTTTAGTTTTTTGAGTCTTTTATGAAAACGACAATGTTTTTTAAAAAATAGTAAGAGTAAAAAAAGTTTTAGAATTAAATTCCACATGAAATGAAGTAGTAATGTATTAAATCCGCCAAAAGGTTAAAAAAATCTGCCAAAATTAAGGGAACCATCACCCTTAATCAACCCTTTGAAATGCCTCAATTGGTCTCTACTTGCTACCAATTAATACCCTCGGTACACTCATAACGTATACCAAATTTGGTTTTTCTAGCTTAATGTATTACGAAGATATTCAATGTTTTAAAAATTTAAGACCCAACTTTGAAAGCCTATAACTCCTCAGAAGTACAACTTGGTATAGAGATAAGTTGCGTTAAATCATCTTAATTTATTGTCCTATACATGTCCCTGCTCTGTGTCGGTTCTTATGTGAATCAAATTGAAAGTAGCATCGGTGTCATCAGAAATTGCATCATTCGCATGTAAACATGAGAAGAGAATGCACGATCATCCCAACATCGAGGCCATCCAGCTTCTCGACAACGAGGATGTCCTGCGTCGCCTTCAGAGGATGAAGCCGTTCGATTTAGTGACCTAGTGCCCTTGTCGATTCAAACGCGAGCAATAGTGCGGAATTATAACAAAAACAATAATACCCAATACGTGTGTTCCGCGTATCGCAGTGTGCGCGTTTTTGTGTTTTGGTCTTAAAACGGTAAAAATATGACAATATTTATCTGTATTATGGGTAAAGCAGACTGGACCACTGGGAAAAGCTGCAAAACGTTATCTAGTTTAATTTAGTGTTAAAAATAAGTAACTAATTAGTATGTATTTACTAGGTGTTATACAATTGTGCTATGCATAATATAGAAAAAAAAAAAAAAAAATTTTTGACTTACTTAATGAATAAAAAACGTAGGTAAAATTTAATAATTATAAAATAGTACAAATTTTTTAAAGCTTATTAAAATTAGGGTAGACAATTTTTAACAAGAATATTTTAATTTGATCCAGATACAGAAAATTCGAAAATAGAAATTTTAAAACATTCTTATAATCAGTACTTTCATAAAAACGTTCACTATATTTTGGGATGGAGAGTCTTACTCATATTTTGTACCTTAACCTCGATTAGCTCGATAAACTCCTGTTAATCTATATGAAATAAATGAAATCAAATCTACAAAATACCCCGATTTATAATAATTTATATTTTTGACGGAAACCGATAAGAATTTACCCCAATGTAAACAAGATAAAAAGGCTCGATCGGAATGTAATAACGACCAAATCTACATACATTTTCAACATGTTAACATAGTTAATCACGTGAGGTGTATTTGTCACAAACATGTGTGGTGGCATACTTTGCAAGATTCTTGCTTTTATTGTAGCTGGACTTGGTGTAGCTGCAATTATTATCGGAGCAGTTGTAGGTTTTGCTGTTTTACCTAACAATATTAGAGACGAAGTAGAACGAGTAAGATGTTCGAATAAAAATTTTATATTTATGAAACAATTAATTTCGAATTTTAGAGAGTTAGATTAGAATATGGTAGTGAACAATTTCAAAGATGGCAAATTTTGCCTTTTAATCAAACAGCGAAAATATATTTTTTTGAACATAATTTGCAGCCAGACAATAGGATATTAGTGGCTGAACGAGGACCTTTCGTATATAAGTAAGTTTTTTCATTAATTTGACAGCATTAAATGAAAGCACATACTTAATCTAATTTTGCTGTCAAATTTAGATTGACCAGACAAAAAACAGTAGATGCGAAAAATCGCGATGATGACACAATAACATACAGAGAATATCTTAAATTTGATTTTGATGAAGAAGAGTCAGAGTTTCCTGAAACACATCAGTTAAAATTACTTAACGTTCCATTAGTGGTATATAAAATCACGCAGCTTTACGATATATTAGTCACTTACATTTATTTATAGAGTTTAGTGCAATCAATAGAAGATAGGTTACCGACAGGTATTAATAGTGAAATAAACTCAGCGTTTGGAAACCCAGAAGATGTATTTCGAATATTCAGTGCTAGAGAGTTTCTATTTGATGGGTATACATTTTGCACAAACCCAACAGCAGCTCCTAATTTGTGCCCGACCAGAAATGAGATAGAAAATATGCATTATATTCAACCGGAAGGAGCAACAGCTTTATCATTTGCATTTTTAAGACATGTAACTAAAATAAATTTTTATTCGATAATAAATTAAAGTTTTATTTACACAGAGGGATAATACTTTTGATGGTACTTATGTAATAACCGCTGGAATGGATAGCATTGGAGATCTTGGTTTGATTAGGACATGGAATGGACAACCTAATTTGCCAAATAACGTTTGGGGAAATACCGGACAATGCAGAGAAATTAATGGCCGCGATTCAACAATTTTCCCACCGAATGTGAATAGAAATGATGATTTTAGAATATTTTATAGCGATATTTGTAGGTAAGAAAAACCATTTAACACATAACTATGGAAATAAAATTATTTATTTAAATAATTTTTATTAAATCTTCAAGGACAGTTACATTAGAACATGTCGAAAATGTAGGCTTTGAAGGTATTTCAAGTCATAGGCGGGAATTTGAAGAAACTACCCTTAATAACGACAACGATAACGATTGTTATTGTACTGGTCAAACAAGGTTGCCTGATGGTTCAAATCGATGTTGGCACAACGGTTTTACAGATCTTTATACTTGTACACGTATAATAACCGCAATAAAAAGCAATCTTTAAACTAATCCAAATATTTTCAATTTAGGATCACATGTAGTACTTTCGTATCCTCACTTTTTGGGTGCTTCAATTGTTCAAAATCCAGTATTGGGATTAGAAGGACATCAGGATTATCATGGTTCCTATACAATCATAGAACCAGTAAATTTTGAAAAATATTCACTTTTTTCATAATTATTTTTTTTAAATAAATAGGGTACTGGAACACCATTAAAAATAGTGAAAAGATTCCAATACAACATGGTTTTAAGAAACATTGGAGGTGTTACTGTAACGAGTCGACTACCATCTACGATCTATCCTGTATTGTGGATTGAAGAAGTACATAAGTGTTTTAAACATAAATAAAGCCGTTTTAATTTTTCATTTTAATTTTAGACCATGGAATTACCATCGAATTTAATTGACAAGATTCATGATAAATATTTATCAGAATTGAATACCATTACTATAATTACTTGGGCATTGATTGGATGTGGTATTGCTCTATTTATACTTGGTATAGCTTTAAAAATATTATGTTGTTGATAATTATTAATTTTAATAAATATAAAAAATTAACTACCTTAAAATGATGTAATTAGTTTCCCATACTAATAAAGTAACTAATAAAGTTTCCCATACTAATAAAGTAACTCTAATTAATGATTCAATAGAAAATAAGATATAACATTTCTATTTTGTATTGAAATGTAATCTTTATATCGGACTTGTTATAAACATCAACATCGACAATTGCATCTAACTGCAAACCAAATACTACTCCTTTAATTATTTCAATTAATTGATCTAATATTTACCATATTTAATACATAACATATCCCAGTAGACGCTATTTACACAGACTTCAGCACGGAGTTCGACCGAGTTAACCATAATCCGTTAATTTCAAAACTTCAACATTTTGGTATCGATGACTACTTGATCAAATGGTTGTATGCTCGGAAGAACTCTGTTAATCAAAGAAATCTAGTTTCATTTCAGTGCCTTCGGGTGTACCGCAGGGTAAGGGTTTTTGAAACATTCTCACTGCTTAATGTATACTGAAGATCTGAAATTATTTATTCGTGTGTCCTCACTTCTGGATTGCTCGGGGTTGCAGCGTGTAGTTGACTATTTTTCATAATGATGTTTATATATTTTTGTTCTATTTTTTATTGTAATTTTCGAGGCACAGTTTTTTCTGGATTAGTCCTGTTCTGTGCCCAACTTGGTGTGTAAATAAATAAATCAATATTTATAGCAGCCAATAGAATAAGTTCTTCTGCGGTCGTATGAGGCTTTTAATATTTCGCGATTGTGTAGGCCACCTTGTAATATGCTGGCAAAACGATGTTTGGTATTGCAGTTTTAAAAAAAGTAATATAATATAATAATAATCAATGTCTTCCTCGGTGTTTGTAATAAACACTTGATCATTGGCGAACAACAAAGTAGTTAAGCATTGATCATTGGGCAGTATACCCATTCCTAAGCAATTTTGTCTCCAGTTCTTCACAGATTCTGGGACATACATTTTAGACAGAGTATAGAGATTTTATTTTTCAATTTTATTGCACTTTCATTATTCTTGTAGGCGTTCAGGATTACGCGTCTATATGTTTGTCAAAGGTACCAAGTAATCCAAAACAACACATGCGAAAGCAGTCGACAACAGGAAAACGTTTCATTACAGTGCCTTCTACAACACGTCCATTAGCAGAACCGTGCAGAAACACTACGTCATTCATTTCAGCAATTGATAGTAACAAAATTCTGATAATTCCTACAAAGAACGCGTTTCTCGATAGGATATTACCACTAATAAAAAATTTGATGACCGATGGACGTAATCTTAAATCGTGTTATCAAGAATTTTGCAAATATTTAAAGAAATTCAAGCTAATAGCAAACACGTTCAAATTTTAAATGTGTAAAAATAAGTTAGCTAAAGCAAAGTTTAATGATATTTTCTGGAAATTTATGGTGGAAGCTGAAAATTTGCTGTTACTAAATATCTGGGTGAGGTCACTTTTAAAGGTGGCATTTCTAACCGCAAGTCCATAAACAACAATGTTCAACCTATCCATGCAAAACTAAAGAAGGTAAGTAAATACAAGAAAATACTATTTTGCACAAAGGATAACAAGAGTAAGCCTATATAGCGTGTGATAGAATATGGCAGAAATGTTATACAACTATCCTGATTATGTATGATCAACTAAGGAGAAGAAAAACTGGAAGTGCATGTTAGATAGATATTTGAAGGTCGTCAAAAGCACGTCCTATCAAATTGATTAATTTTATTAAATTATTTTTCTTAATGCTATCTGTTACAAAAAATAACAATAAACAATGATTATAACAAAGACATAGTGTTGGTACACTCAGTCACCATGATATTATGATATACATGATGTATTGAAGAAGCATTACTATATAAGAAGATCCACAGTGTGTGACCTTTTCACATGTCTCGATCTGCCAAATGTTGGATCAGTACGTTTGGATGACTTCTTAAGTGCTCGCCATAGCGTAAGGAAGGTGTGAGATAACGCCCGTAACCAGTGGTATGTCCAAGTCATCATGGATCATGGTTTTTGTGAGGTAATTGCTTTTTAGGTTTAGTGAATAAGCCATAATGCCAAACTTTATCGATAGCCTGCAAGATATCCAAGATTGTCGCCCTACAGCAGCTTTTTTCTTCGAATTCCTGTTTCACTGTTTTGACGATTACCTGTTCAATAGTTCCATGGTGTTCTCTGAAGCCTTAAATTTTACTGGTTAGGATGGAGTTTGAATAGCAGCATTTTTTTCACCATGCAGCGGAAGCAAACTGAAAGCTATACAATGCCGCTTCACTTTGGTCTTTTTCGGGTTTATCATTTTAACCTCAGCAATTTTCCATTTTATTGGTAAGTATTCGAGTCGAACCATGACATTAAAAATGTAGCTAATGAGTTTGATAAACTTTTCAGGCACTTGCTTCAATATTTGCCCTGTAATGAGATCATAATCAGGTGCTTTTCTAGGTTTCCAACTTCTAATCACACCGAGGTCATACTTTTTAAACTTTTCTGTCGCTAAACACATTTGGTGAGGTGTCTCTAGAGTCTGCACTATATATTCTTCTTCAATAGGTGAAATTTTTCTCATGTGAGGTTAGAAGGCTGAAGTTAGATACACCGTAAACGTGCGAGCCTTGTCTTCATCGATTCTTTGCCATTATCAATTTAGCATTCTGAACGAGTGATAGACTCCTGACTTTCCCAGTAACGTCGTAGGATGTGTTTTTAAACTCAGATAGGGCATTTCTTAATCGACAAGTGGTGCGATTGAGTTGAGTTTGAGTGTTTTGAAATTTTTCCTTAGCATTCTTTTTTCCCACATTTACTGTAATATATGATTTGGGTAAGTATTCAATCCGTCCCTGTGTTTAGGTGTCGGTGTTGCAGCTTTCTGAATATAATCCCTCGATTTTAAGGGAATTTGAGTGTCTATTGAGGTATTTAAGGCATTTCTGAATACCTACATTGACTAATATAAAAGAAAAGTTCCATCACTACAAGGAACAAAAGAAACGAGGAAAGGGCAGACTTCAAAGAAACAATGACCTTGAATCAAATGACCAAGGCTAAAAGTAGTTGCAACTTCCTTACATTTACTTTTATGGGTAGTTAAGGTTTATTCAAGGTGTAATATTTTTTTTAAATTTTGTTTTTAGTTACAAAAGCAACATTATTTCCAACGTTATAACAGACTTGTGGTTCAACAATTCATTAGTAATTAGTTTAGTTAATTTTCATTCTTTAAAATGTATATTCATTTCAATATTTTAAAGTAATATTAGATACTATCATCTCAAGTCACAAATTTTTTTATTGTTTTTCTATTTTAAGAGAGTCACTAAAAATAAATTGAAAAAATTAATATAACACCTAATTTTCAGAAATCCTAAGTAACAAAAGTTTCCATTTTATTACACGATCCCGATATTGTTATCATTATCGAAAACATGTTTATTTATTGTTAAACTTTCTGGTATTAAGTAAGGCTTTGCAGCAAACTGATAAAATGTCGGCTTAAAACGAACGTTTAAACCACAATGGCACAAACATGAAAAACATGGCTTGTTGTAAATTAGTGCTTATTGTTATAGCATTTTTTGGTATAATTTGTATAATTATTGGTGCGGTTCTAGGATTCGCTGTTCTTCCAGATGTTATTATAAGCACAATCAATGAGGTAACAATAATATAATAAATCTTGATGTAGTCTAAGAAATGCCCCAACCCAATTTTTTTCAGAACGCTAGATTAGAAAACGGCACCGTTCAATTTACAAGATGGAAAGAAATGCCGTTTCCCATTACTATTAAAGTGTATTTTTTTACAATAAAGAATTCAGACATTTTAAAAAGGGTATCAGCAATTGAAGATTTACAAAGAATTGAAGTCGAACAAATAGGGCCGTTTATTTATAGGTATTTAACTTAATTTAAAAGAATTAATTGATAAAGTTTTTCCTGTATTTTAGACAAAGTAGATATAGAGATAATGTTGAATATGACGAAGATAAGGATACATTACTTTATTTTAAAAATACCTTTTTCGAATTTGATGAAAAAGCTAATACTTTATCGTTAGATGAAATGATCTATACATTAAATGTACCTCTTATGGTAAAAACATTTTAAAACCTCTGTTATAAACTTGGGTTATTTGAATATTTTTTTAGAATTTTTTTCAAATGACAGAAAAACTAGTCGAAGCATCACCAAATCTTTTGGACACTATTAACTACGATTGGATGGAAGCGTTTCCAGGTATGAATTTGTTTCAGGAATTTTCTGCAAACGAATTACTATTCGATGGAATTAAATTTTGTCCTAACGGTGCAATAAGAACCGGTGAAATAAATCCCGGTAGAACATCTCCCATGGAATCAATTACCGATGATACAACCACCTTGAAAACAACTACTGATGAAACAACAACCTTAGAAACAACCACCGATGAAACAACTACCGGTGTAACAACCACTTTGGAAACAACTACCGATGAAACAACAACCTTAGAAACAACCACCGATGAAACAACTACGGATGAAACAACCACATTGACAACAACTACAGATGTAACAACCACTTTGGAAACAACTACCGATGGAACATCAACCATTGAAACAACCACTGGTACAACAATCCCAGATGTAATAGATTCAGTTTGTTCAAAATTAAATGATATGGTTGCGAGTAATAACTATATGAGAATTATTGATAGAGATGAAGATGGATTATCATTCGCGTTCTTAAGACATGTAAACTAACATACCTATTTTTAACTATTAGCTTTTATTTATAACTTTTATTAGAGGCACAATAACAGCGTAGAGAGCTTTTTAATTAAAGCTGGTATGAATGTCGTAGAGGATGTTGGAAACCTGTTAAAATGGCGGAATGATGATATCTTGAATATGTGGAATGACGGTGAAAATAGCCAAGTTTGTAAAGAAGTTAGAGGAAGAGATTTTCTGATTTTCCCACCACACGCTACCAAAGAAGATACAGTTGATATATTTCGAAGTGATATATGTAGGTAAGTTATTAAAAGGAAGATAAACCGAAATTAATTATAACATTTGGTATAATATTCCTTATTATTACGTTATTATTATTGTCACGTTTTATAATAGGAAAATTAATGACTTCTTACTATATAATCGTGAAAAGCTAATTATAAATAAACATTAAACTGTTATGCGTGTCGAAAGTAGTATTAAGCATTGCCAAGTTGATATTTGTTTTTTTTATAAGCATCATCTAGTATCTATTATATAACGTCTAATGTATATGGATTCTTATGACAATTAATATTTGAAGAATACGTTCTACTACCGTAATGGGATGTCCCCATTTATGCACCGTACACCAAAGTAAGCCTCAATAACCCAGGTAGAAACAATGCAGTCTCTCTCTCCAGTACAAGTCTCTATTAGTAGAGGAAGCAATGAAACCGTACCTTCTGACTGAGCCACCAACTTTAACAAACTAAAAATTTATTTGCTTTTGTTTAAGAAGTAATATTTAGAAAAATTAAAATGAGCCTTCCTCTCAAGAGTAGTAGTAACATTGAAGAAGCTGTACAACATTTCACATTAACAATTCAAAAAGTTGCGTGGAACTCCTCAAATATCGTTTTATATCACGCCTGGGTATTACCCACACAAGTACCGAAAACTTTAATGTAACCTGTACTTATAACCTTTGCTTGATGCAATTGTAGGACTTGATAGATCACCAAAAAGTTGTTTGGGTATGTGTGCTAAAAATACTGTACACCAATCTTTTTCTGCATTCGTGAACACAGAAATTAGTGTGTCATTTTTTTGCCATTGCCAACCCAGAAATGTTCCTGATATATTGATAAGAAAGCATGTAAAGAATAAGGGAACGTAATAGGGTAATAGTTTGTTTTTCAGTTAACAAAATTTGCTACTCTTAATATTCATTGTTTAAAATTTGTAAATGTCTACCTTCTTTCATCTCTTGTGTGGTTGCTTCAGTGCGGTATTGGAGTTATTTCTAAATCATCTGCAGTAAACAACAATGTGGATATATTTTCATTGTTGATGAAAAGCTCAGTTATTGATTTTAGTTTTGTTATGTTTCACTTTTAGATTAGCCACCAGATATGGTTGTTTATTAAGTGTTTGTAGACACACATGTTGTTAGGACGCCTTTTTCTATGCTAATTCTGCCAACTCCAATTTGGTTTAAGTTCAGAATTTTACAGCATCGTTTTACTAAATTGACAAGAAAGCTTTCTGCGCATAATTAACATGATATGATTCTTCACGTCGGCTTCTCTTGATTTTGTAGATAAATTTGTTATTCTTCTCTTTTGTATTACTATGTGATCTTGGTATCTGCATCGTTTCTAACTGGGTCAGATGCTGTTAAAAATGTTGTCATCCGTCTTGGATATTGGTTGGAATCATTTAAAAACCATATCAATTCTGCTACTGATGACAACTCAATAGATCGAAGAGTTTTAAGATAATTGACAAGGTTATTTTCAATGCCCCATTTCATATTGTTCTTTAATGAGGTCAATAAAGTGACTAAAAAAATTCTTTTTCGTTTCTGAAACATTGTCTTAATTTGAAACCTTCTGCTTTTAACAGAAGAGATTCAAGAATAGTGTCATTATTTTTGTTTTATTCTAGAGTTGTTTCAATGAAATTCGAAGATAATGAAGAATATAAGGGTATTCCCGGTTATAGGTATGAACAAAAAGAAGATACTTTCACAAATGACGGAAATCAATCATGTTATTGCACAAGAAACACCAGAGATATCAATGGGGAAGATACGTGCTGGCCAGATGGTTTCATGGATTTATACACCTGCTTAAGTAAGTTATGTTATCGATTATACAAAAGAAAAACATTTTTTTCATATTTAGATACAATGTTTATCATGTCGAATCCACATTTTCTCAACGCGGAGGAATCTGAATTTGCCCAAACAGTAATTGGATTAGAACCAAAAAAAGAAGATCATGGATCTTATGTTGTTTTTGAACCGGTTTATATTGAAACAGTTTTTTTATACATTAAACACTTATTTTTATTATTTGTTTTTGTAGAATACTGGTACTGTGTTAAAAGCTGTTAGGAGAACTCAATTTAACATGGTTTTAAGACCCATTAGTTTTACTGTGGATAGTAACTATGATATTGTTGGACGTGAAATTAATGGAGAAAATGATGGAGAAGATGATGGAGAAGATAATGGGGGAAATGATGAATCGAAGGAAGACCGAAAAGTTTATATTGAAGCAACTAGAAATCTTCCTAGAGCGGTTATGCCTATATTTTGGGTTGAAGAAGTAAGGATACAAATAAGACATTTTATTAAACCTGAGAATGAATAAAAATAACTCTTCTTTTAGGAAATGGAATTACCATATAATTACGTAAGAGAATTACGTGTTAGATATTTCGATCAATTAGTTATGGTTGATGTCGTTACATGGGTTCTAATTGGTTTTGGAATATTAATATTTTTTATTGGATTAATATTTGTATTCATATGTTGATTAATATATAATTTTCACGTAATTAATACTTAACTCGATATTATAAATAAAACATAAATGTTAACTAATAAAACTTAAGCACTTTTTATATTAATAGCCAATGTAATATGTCATATAAAAGTAGTTTCTAGTAGTTCTTTCAAGTTTGTACCGTTGCCATTGAGTTGAACTGTAAATTTATGTTTTTTTTTCAAATGTGATAGTAAGATAGGATGGAATAGTAAAGATTCTTGATATCATGTTTACGATGGAAAATTTTGTTTTTGATTTAAAATTAGTTACTGTATAAGAAATTATTACTTTCCATCCATTTTTAAAACATTGCTATACAAACAGAAATTTGAATAATAAATCTGCAGTTGAATAAATAAACCACCATATTATTATATCACTTTCTCGCTCACAATCGATTTATAATTGCCATAGAAAACTATTCCATGTCGTCACATAGAACGTATTCTTTTTTTATTCCTTTCATCTCGAGCCTTAAAAGATTCCTTAAAAACACGGATGAAATTCAAAAGACATTTGAGAAAGCCTTAATACATCATTGGTAAGATTTTTAAAAAAGTACTAAGAAGTCATTCTGTATAAACATACAGAACATATATGTATATACATATAAACATATGTATATAAGAAAGTAACTTAATAATAGGTGTTAGATATTAATAATCATAATAATAATTCATAGTCCGTTTAAGTTCAATATGAGAAAATTTTGTCTACGATACCGATAACCAATAGAGGAATTCTTAATATAAAAAATTCGACAATAAAAATTTTTCTATAATCAACATTTACGTCACTGTAGAGATAAAAACATACGAAATGACGTGGAACGAAATAGGGAAGGATTAGGGGACTTCTTATTCAACATTAATGCACTAATGTAACAGTTTTTACATCTTAACCTCTAAATGTAAGTCTTGAAATGTTGTTAGAATTACGTGAAATAGGGAAGGTTTTTAACATGTAACTTATAATTATTTATTAAATAGGTAAGTATTACTGATCCTATATTATGTACCGGAATTCCTTCCATGCCGAATACTTTCCACTTGCCATGGTGCACAGACCACTGGCATTTGCAGAATTTTAAAGGCATTTGGAATACTTACTTGTCTTGCTCAGCAATTCTATTTGGACTATATGATCTTAATAGACAGGATTTTAGAGAAAACGCTTGCACTGTGTGTACTAAACCACAAGCAATTGAACAACAAACATATGTTTCCAACAATTACTCCATTGCAGTTTGGCAATCTCGCTCTTAAAAAATTAGGGAGCTCTAATTTTGAAAAGCTGATAACGGAATCCGACAACCGACATTACTTGACATATTTTGGTCAAATCCGCAAGGAAATCCACCCAGCCGTTTTCGCCATAACGGCGTCTTAATAAACCGCAATTTTCCGCGAAACTGTATGGAATATCGAAAAAATAAAATATGTCACTCATGTGCACCTGTTCAAAATTCAAATTTCTTCGTGCGATAATTTTCAAAAAAAAAAAAAGTCGCAAAGATGACAAAGTTGCCGATATCGTAAACAATCGGGTACTTTTTTCATTTAACTTGCGATAAATAGAAAACCGTGGATCCGAAAATTTTCAAATTGACATGTTACGTAGAAATTACGTAGAAAATTCTGTGATTACAACAAACTTTGTCGCAATTTTTTTTATCGCACGGTTGCGAAGATATCGATCTCTAAAGTGAGGGGCCTTGACTTTTTGCACGGATAGTAGTATTATATGGAGTGGTTTACACTCAATTTCAAATTATTTCANCCACTGGCATTTGAAGAATTTTAAAGGCATTTGGAATACTTACTTGTCTTGCTCAGCAATTCTATTTGGACTATATGATCTTAATAGACAGGATTTTAGAGAAAACGCCTCATCTTCAACTACAACATAGGGAAAATTCGGCCGCAAGCTCTCACGTTTACAGCAATAAACTAATAGTTTGCATCTGTGTATACTAAACCACAAGCAATTGAACAACAAACATATGTTTCCAACAATTACTCCATTGCAGTTTGGAAATCTCCCTAGCAAATGTCCTCTGTGCGATGTGGCATCATAATATGTATTAGATCTTGGCATATGGTTTCGCAAATCTATTACTTTTGAAATTAGAAAAAGGTCCGTTTAAAGTGTATTTCAGACTGTCTAGAATGAGGATCCATTGACAGATGGATGTGACATATGGTGTGTCCCAGACAGTACGTCGCGCCTTTATCTTACCTACATAAAGAAATAAGGCGCGACGCTCTGCCTGGGATGCACCATCTGTTACGATTGGACGGAACCCCCGTCACCCCGCAGAGCTTATTTCTGTTTCTCTTTAATTTGTAATTCCATTAAATCACTCTTAAAAAATTAGGGAACTCTAATTTTGAAAAGCTGATAATGGAATCCGACAACCGACATTACTTGACATATTTTGGTCAAATCCGCGAGGAAATCCACCCAGCCGTTTTCGACATAACGGCGTCTTACTAAACCGCGATTTTTCGCGAAACTTAATGGAATATCGAAAAAATAAAATATGTCACTCATTAAAAACACATTAGGCTACCACCTGTTGAAAATTCAAATTACTTCGTGCGATAATTTTCGAAAAAAAAAAAAATCTCAAAGATGACAAAGTTGCCGATACCGTAAAAAATCGGGTACTTTTTTCATTTAACTCACGATAAAAAGAAAACCGTGGATCCGAAAATTTTCAAATTGACATGTTACGTAGAAATATTCTGTGATTACAACAAACTTTGTCGCAATTTTTTTTATCGCACGGTTGCGAAGATATCGATCTCTAAAGTGAGGGGCCTTGACTTTTTGCACGGATAGTAGAGNATTCTGTGATTACAACAAACTTTGTCGCAATTTTTTTTATCGCACGGTTGCGAAGATATCGATCTCTAAAGTGAGGGGCCTTGACTTTTTGCACGGATAGTAGTATTATATGGAGTGGTTTACACTCAATTTCAAATTATTTCATGTTTTAACAATGTTAATAATTAAAGCTTTATAAGTTTTCAAGTACAAAATGTAAAAATTTATTGAATGGTACCGTTTTTCAGGCACAAATCCAATGAGCAGCGTTCAAACGGTTTTTATCTGGCAACATTACACCGTTCAAATCGTGAATTATCCCGATATGTTTTAGTAAATTAATAAAATTGGAAACGACTCACCGAATGGATGTTGTTTCCCTTGGATTTTACTTCGAAGCTCAGCTGGAAAGAAAAAATAAGTTAATTTATTGTGACAAAAAAAATGAATTAATACGATACCTATTAACATCCATAAAATAGCAATCCGATGATCTCGGAATCACTAATATCACTTAACACTTAGCATAAATATAGCACGTATTTATCACTTAATTCAAATAATAAGTTTTATTTTTCTAAACTACTTTAGCACCCTTAAATGCCCGCATGTCAACTAAAATGCGTTATTAGCGAATCAACTTCCAAACATCCCCTCCTTAATTTATTGTGTGAAGAAGGAATACTGGAGGTGAATAAACAAAAAATGTAAAGACGACGGGGCGAAGCGGTTTTAAATCGCTTTTTGGTTTTAAAACTCAACCTTTCAATAAAAAAATTACTCGTTTTCTCGAAACATTTCAAATAAAACTTACGTCATTTTACTAAAATAAAAGGCACTAATCGAATTTCAATGTTTAACACTTCTTGCAAAAGAATCAGGTGCCCAACAAATAATTAAAGCGAAGCAGCCAAGACGTTGGATTATGCATCATCCCTTATTTTTTGTGTCATGAAATATAAATTTAAAAAAATCTTATCTCAAGAACGAATTGAGGTATCATCATGAAATAAAGAACATTTTAAAGCTAATTTAATGAAGATATAATGGGCTATATAACTTTTGTTTTTGAAGTTAGAAGTTTTATTTTTAAAAACTCTTTTCAAAAATTAAGTTATTTTTATTTTAGAATTAATTACAAAGTTCAAACTAACACTATAACGACGTCGAGTGAAATGAATTAATTATTAACATTTTCGTGGCCTTTTATACTATTTTCAGAAGATTTATGCTGAATAAGGGCCTTTTATGGAAATTTCTGGGATTCTAGGATGATTCATAGTTCTTCTTAGATATGGTGACACATAACTTATATAATTTCTTATTTTCTATAAAAATCGTTGTTATGATACAGCCGCTCTGTACCCTTAACGGGATGCCCGGTACAACTAAAAATATAAAATTTGAAAAAAAAAAGACTAGAACAGTAGTAAGAACAACAGTAAATTATATTAAATGTAGAAATACTAAAACCAAAAATTAAAAACAATTTTCTATTTTAGTACAAATACATTTTAAATCAGTCTCTTACTTGTTCGTTTGTTTACATACTTTATTATGATTAGTAGAATATTTCAAACATTTTCACATTAGTTTGTTCTCTAGTAGTAATAAGTTTATATACAAATATATTTTATGTAATTGAGGAGTAGACTTCCAGGCAGTAAAGTCACCGGAGTCGTTTAAACAATCGTACTTACCTACTTTATTAGCAAATTCAGAGATCGGGCATTTCCATTTTCGCATTCACCGTGGATCATACTTTCAATGGAGATGTTAACGACTAAAATTGGTCAATTAATAAAGGAGATAATTGACTTATTTTCTAAGTAGTTTTTTGTGTTCTAATCAAAATCCTTAAATAGTTCGAATCGGGTGTTTCGACATAATTATTCAGCCAGACGCAAGCTTTCGTTTAAGATATAAAACATTAAAATCCGTCAAACCGTTCTGTAGTTATAATCAATTCAATACAAATTAATTTTTTCTTATTGGAGGCTAGACTTTTGGTCGTCTATACTTGCATAAACAACGAGCCGAACACTGTGTCATTCCGAGGGCTGTACAAGGTGAACGGGAGAGAATTGAGATCGGGCATTTTGCGATAGAAGAAACTATGGTTAATCGAATGACCTATATATCTTAATAATCGAGTACAT